GCTTAAAATTTAAGATAAAAAGTTGAGGAAAAGTAATTTAGGTAATATCCTAAAGTTCATTGTGCCTCTCCCTTTTTTCCTTTATTCTTTTGGAATCTGGGGAAGTTAAAAGAAGTCTTGTCATGGAGCACTATACTTAAGATTTGTGAAGTTTACTCTAGGTATATTAAACTCTAACAAATAATTTGAGGAAAAAAGCCTAGGGTCAGAAACTTCCTCTCTTTTATAGGGGAAAACTATTTAGTACTCTTTAATGAGATATATTTATCAATACCATTTTGTTTCATGCAATGATTCTTATTACTCCTGGGACACAGAACAAAGAAAAGAATCAGGAATCAGGATATAGATGTTAGAAGGAAGACAAAGAACCAGGGATGTAAAAAGACAACCCGATAAACGAAATTACATATAGTGTGGAAGAAGATGGCAGCAAAGAATTCAGTCACTGCATGAAAAATGAAACGTGCTAGGGATTCAGGGCTAGGCTCTAGATCCACATGTAACTTTTGACTCTACATTTGGCTTTTTTGCATTCACAGATTCAGCCAATCACAGATTGAAACAGTATTTTCAATTTGAGGTGGGAATCTATGCTTGGAGAGGCAAAAATACCGTTTTTGATCCACGGTTGGTTGAGGTTGGTTGAATCCTCATCTGTGAAGGGATGACTATTTACTGAAAAAAAAAAAAACTGTGTATAAGTGGACCAGGGCAGTTCCAACCCATGTTGTTTGAGGTTCAACTATATATACCAAACCATGTGCGCTAGTGTGGAGTTACCTCAACCTGAAAGAAGGGGTACTTTTTTCTAATTTGCATCCATTTACCATGTCTTAGTAAGCCATGGGCCTGCATGGGGATCCTGGTGTGGATGTGTGTGTTCTTCTTTTTCATTTCCATAAGGCGTCCTATGAACAAAGGCTCTGAGGACCCGAAGATCTCTTGTTTATCGTTCTCCTTTGGGTATCTATTCAGCTCTCTAATAGAAGTTATGAGTTATAGAACCAGCCAGCTTCATATCGGCCTCTTGGGTGTGCAGACAATGTTTTGGGCTCTACACCTTCTAAAATCAAAGGGACCTTGGAGCCCTTCCATGCTGGAGATGTGCAGTGCTGGGTCAGGGCTGGTGCAGCAGGCTCAGGGTTCAAGGATGATTTACTCAGCCTGATCTCATCATTTTTTATTTTTCTTGGAAATATGGTCTGTTTGTAAAAGTACTCTTGGAACCCTGAATGCCTCAAAAGTTTTGACTTATGTTGGCTAAAAACAGTAAGTTTCAGATTTCTTCACTGAAGATCGTATAGTAAAAACGAATGTGGGAAGCGATATCTAGAAAATGAATCTCTATTCGGTTTTTTCGATTAGCCAAAAATCCTTCTTTTTTTCAATTTCACCCCAAGTTAAGATTTTCTTAAACTATGAAAACCTCAAACCAATTTTTTAAAGGACAATAGCTTTTATGTGTCTACTATTCTGCTTGAAATTATGTTGGTACAAATATAATCTTCTCCCTGTTTCTGAATTTTTGTTCTTGACTGTGTTTTTCTTTATTCAGTCAAGCCAGCGTTGTTTTTAATTAGAAATTTAAATTACATCTGCTGCAGTTTTTGTACACACCAGGGGATATATTTACGTAATACTTTTAGCCAGCCAAGCTATTTTTTCAGAACTTCAACATACCATTTCTTTATAGAGTGCTTATTGATGAGGCCTTATAAAAATTGTGCTCAAATGTTATGCAAGACAAGCAGTTGTGTAGCTCAGGAGAGAGCTCCCAAGGAAAACATGTCTTGAATATATTTTATTTATTTTTCATGGAGCAGGAAACCACGTTTCTCTTTGTCCTGTGCTATTCTTTCACACATTCTCCTTAGTATAGCTCACAGGTATGTGCTGTTGGCAAGTGCAAACAATCTTACAAATTGAGATATTTCATTAAATTTCAATGAGGTAATTAAGGAAGCTCATTTTCAAAGGTATACATTTATTTCAGTAGCTTGCATGTTGCTTAATCAGGAAATGACCGGAATACTAAATCCGGAAGGCAGGTGGGGCTTGTGTAGGTCAGCAGCCCTGAGAGTCAGACTGTGAGAAGGGGTAGCATAGAGGTGAGAGCTGCAGAGGCCCCTGCTGTGGGCAGAAGCTAATTGGCTGAAAACATGAATAAGTTATCTTTGTTATTCATGTCAAGGAAAAGCTAAGGGAGAAGAGACGAATATCTGTACCTACCAAGGCATTGTGCTCTGCCGTATGATATTAAAAAATAAAAAGCAGTTCCTTAGACTTAAGCCCTTCTCCCAGTAACAAGGAAGAGGAATAGATGCTCAATTACTTGGCAGTGCTTTTTTCTGAGTATTATCTGTCAGATGTGGCATTTTCAGCCAATAAAAGATTGCTAAGAAATTCCCTACCATTAAACATTTATTACTGGGACCACTGTCCTTGAGCCTGGATTATGTGTAAATGGTTTCAATTAAAAACCTCTGATGTCAGGGCTGGGCAATTCTTTGCCTTTGTTCACGGTCCTGTACTGTGCTTGGGTCCCGGTAGCCCGCACACATGGCCGTAGACTGACCACAGCTCTGTTCCTAGGACCAAAGATTCTAGTATGATGTCATCAGATTAGATATCATAGAATAAAATCTTTTACCACAGATGGATTTTACTTTAGAAACCTTTTCCAAAAAGTGCATAAGAGAGACCTATGGAAAAGTCTCTAGGGAGCTGCTCTCAGCAACGTCCTAGCAAACAAACACTTTTTTTTTTTTTTTGCCAGTTTTAGACTCTGTCTTTTAAGACTTAAGTTGCTATTCTTCTCTGAAGTTTTTTACCCCTGTGGGGTCTCTGACTCTCCTCCACCTGGGATCTCTGACCGCTGCCTTTATCTCATGGTGTGTTTTGGTGGTTCCGTGAACTGTCCCTAACTAAAGCATATGCCCCGATAAACTGGTTGGTGTCTGTGTTTTGGTGTCGCCCCTAACACAAGTCCATATAGGTGCTCTGGTAAGTAGATCGCTTTGGAAGTCTATCAAGAGGCTGAAGTGAAGGACAGTCATATTTCATGCTTTCTACATGGAGCTGAAAATTTAGCTGCAGACGCCCAGCTAGTCCACATCAAAAATCCTGGGTTCGTGTCTCAGCACTACTGCTTAGCCAATCTGATGATCTTTGGCATACGACTTAACCCTTGCATCTTTATCAGTGGTTTATTAATCCCTAAGCTTCCTTTTAGTCCAGATGCTTGATGTCAGCTTGATCTACCTCAGTGGTTCTCAAAATATGGGCCCCAGATGAAGAATATATTCAGCATTACCTGGGACTGTTAAAAATAACACGTTATCAGACCCCACCTCTGAGCTACTCATCAGAAGCTGCTCTTACAAACCTCCAGGTGACCCTGCTACAAGAGTGGCTGACCTGTAGTGTAGCCACATCCCGGCCTGGTGAGAAGCTCCACCCCACAGCCCTAGATGCCCCGGAGGATTATGCAGTCATTTCCTGGTTGGCATTTAAATCCAGTATGTCCTGTTTCATCTTTAAGGCTCTGCAGAATGGCTCACTATTGCGTCGTATTCAGGTTTGCAGGGTGCTACCTGCAGAACTGCAGCTCTCCAGCTCCGATAAAATGCTGGCAATTGAGTGAAAAATCTTTCTTAGGGTGAACAAAGAACACGCAATGGACAAGGGATTAATTTCCAGCAACAGCCTCCTAATTTTGTATTCATAACGTTGTATGTATGCTATGCTACACACGCAATGTCTGCTGACATACATTAGGTAATTGGGCACCAGGCAGCCCCATTTGTATGCAAAGGTGGTTGCACACCTCCCATTTACAAGTTTAAAATTAAAGCCCAGTTTGAGGCCAGCTGAAGGCTCACTGCCGGGAACATAAAGAGATAAGGAAGAAATGGCTTCTGTTAATCAGCACTTTTGGCCTCTATTGTTCCATCTTTGCTAATTTTTCCTTTGAAACTGTGCATTCTGTGTTGAAGGGAGAGACTTCTAAGAGTACATATATTTTTTTTAGAAAAACCTACATTTATAAGCTGATTGTGTTTATCCCCAACATTCCCCCTAACATTGTAACCACACATATGCTGCAGTCTGCTGCTGGGCTGTGTTTTTGCTCTGTGAACTATTTATGCTATTGTGGGACCACATGGATTGTCTCAAAGAAGAGACACTCAACACAGACGCACAGACTGGGTCTTGGCATTATTTCATTTCCATTCTGCTCACATTCATCAAGCAGCTACTTTGTGCCAGGCACCATGCCAGGGGCTGGGCATACACAGATCAATCAAGCACAGTTTCTGCTCTTAAAAGTTCACAGTATTGAATATTTTTCACAGTTGAATATTTTTGCATAAATGGAGCCTTCCCTGATACCCCCATGAGTTGAAGTGACTTCTTCTTTGAACTCCTAATTATGCTCAACCAATGTCCCAAGGAGAACGAGAGACCCAGTGGACCCATGCCTGGAAGAGTCCAAGCCCAAAAGCACAAGACTGAGGCCAGCTGGCCACTCAGATGCATCAGCAACAGGAGATGGCGCCATTGCAAATGGCTGGTATTCCCAGGTGGTGGGAACGAAGAATGCATGCGTGTCTCTTGTACTCCCAAGGAGAGTCACATGGAGAATGCCAGTCTAAAGCCATCTCAAAGGGACTTGCCCATGAGCGCCCTGAAAAGACAGTTTACCAAATGCCAGCAGCAAAGGAGTCACTTGTCACTCTTCATCATTTGCTTTGTATTCCATAGTTGGCCATGTGCATTTGTTTTATTTTGACAATGAGATTGTAAGCATCTGGAGAACAGATCTGGGTCTTAAGAAGATTACCTTCCATAATACATACTTGATGTGATGAGAGTAAATACAGTCATTAGTAGATACCCAGCTGGTCTAAGTCAAATTCTACCTGTTTGAGGTGGTTTTGTAGGCATTAGTAGTTTCTTATGATAATAAGCAAGTGTTCTTTTTCTCTTCATTCTAGCACAGGCGCTTACACCTTGATAACACCAGATAAAAACAGAAGAGATCAGATACAAAGGAGTACGTATATTTATTTATTTAACATTCAGAAAACTTGTGATTTTCGTATAGAGTCTGATTGGTTTTCTTTGGTCTGAAGGATTTTATTTTCTGATTTGAATATACTCACCAGATCTCATTAAGTTTTTTCTTTATTTAACTTTAGCTGTTTTAATTATACCTTTAAAAACTATTCTATTGTTAATGCATCCAAATTTGTTTCTCTGTGTTCATAGCAGAACTCATAGCATGATTGTACATCTCAGATATCTGTTGGGTTAAAACACTTTCACGCCTATTGCCAATAGGTCCATCTCATTCCTGTAAAATCGGGCTGGCTACAGATATTTTTACAGGACTATGAATACTTTGGAATAGACAAGTTATATACTTGAAATAATTATGTACTTGAAATAATTTGTCTCTTTTTTGATATGCCCAATCCCTTCTGAATGGAATTATTTCTTAAGCCTATGTGCTCCCATAATTTTGTAATTATCAGAGTCTCCTCTCAGCTATTTTCATTTGTGCACAGTAAGCACACTTAACATTGTTGATCGATTCTGCGACTTTAAGCGAAGCAATGTATAATAAAACCAATTTTACCATAGGCTGATTGATAGAAACAAGAGCAAAGTCCCTATGGCATCCCATCAATGTTATAATGAAACATGATTGGAGGACCTGCTGTATTTATTCCTCTTTCCGTCTCTAGATTACAGCCTCCTTGAGGACAGGGACCATACTGTACTCATTTTTGTGTTCCTTATAGCTAGTGGGTGTATAACATATTTAATGGTAAAATTACGGTAAAATAAATGCTGTCGTTTCAAGTTACAGCATTATTTACATTAGAATGGGAAGGAGAACTGAAATTGATATACTTCTCCAAGAAGTTATGAGGTTTGTTTAAATCAAGTTGTGGGGCTAGTACTGAGATTCTGTGCTCCCCTTTATTAGATCTCAGTAGGAAAATTAATTTCGTGACTAATGATGGACGTTTAAGGGCATAACAGGAAAGCAACCCTGTAAAGGGTCTCCACCAGACAGGTGTCCCCCTGGTGGTAAAACTGGGTCAGTGAAAAATATGACAAACACAGTTAGGCAGAGTGGCTGGGGACTGCCAGTGGTTGCCCAACAGAATACCAAATGTTTTGGCATCTCACAAGCTTTTGATTTAAATACTGAAGCCTCAGTGTGATCCGGATTTTTTGAGATGTTTCAGAAGTTTTTTTCCCCTCTAATAATTAAAAAGTATTATAAGTGGACATTTGGAATAATCAGGTCTAATGGAAGTACAAATCTGGTATCTCTGGAGCCCCCTGCTGTCACTCAGAGTGTATTCTTGAGGACTGAGCACCGCTGTCCCGAGTGCTAGGAACCAGAGCAGGTTGCCCACGGCAGTGCAGAGCCCTTACTCCCTATAGTTTCAGCAAGCTCGGAGAACATTTAAAATAAAGACTATGGGCATCAGAATTACCTGGGGATATGTATTTACCTATGTGCGGAAACTTCTCATTGACATGAATATTCTAGTTGTGCATTCTCTATAGCTAACTCTTAAAATTAATTTGATAGACCATTTTAAGAATACCAGGATGGGTAGAAAAACTACGCTCCTTTATTTTCATAGGAGTTCAGGTGGTTTTCCAGATTTGAACCTCCTGTGCAGACTTTTGGAGAAAAAGTGTCACAGGGTGGGCCCAGAGCGACCTGGGGTGGGGGGTTAGGACTGAATGGTGTCTTCCTCTCCTGGGTATCTCAACCACTCATGCCCACATGTAGTTAAGTGCCCTCTGACGGTTGTCTTTTTATGCTTTAAAGGGACTCTTTTCCTTTTCATATTCTAATAATTGATGATTTCGTATTTCCCACTTGGCCTAGTTGCTGAGGAAGAGCTGGAGAGCCTGAGGAGATGGAGGGAGCAGCGCAGAGCGCAGCCAGTGCACCTGGTACCCAGGCAGCTAGGTAAGCAGGCCAGCGGGCTCTCCGATAGGGGAGGATGAGGCCACCTGTGGATCCCGTTGGCACCAAGCCTCCGTCTGTCTCTGAATGTATCTTATACGTTGATGGGTCACTGTGCTGCTATACATTTATAGTTGTAAACACTTAACTATGCCTGTATATTTTGGTTTCTGATTTTCTGCAAGTAGCAAACGTATGATGCCACAGTTATGTGGGAATAAAGTGATGGCTTAATTGCCAAACAATTTACAGCCCCCTTAGATGATCAACTGTGAGGAAAGCTTACCTGGGGCGCTGCATGTGCTCTGTCATAGCACTCGTGAGGATGGGAGTAAAAGCTGTCACAAGCATATGATCATAGCACTTAAATACTAATGGGGGGAAAAATAAATGGAGAGTCGATTCCAAAACTAAGATGGGAGTGAGCTGGGGACTCAGCGGTGGGTATAAAGAGAAATGTCATACTACCTTTGGGCCATTGGAGTGCATGGTTTCATACTACAGATAGAGACCTTTGGGCCATTGGAGTGCGTGATGCCCGTGTGATGAATTGTCTGGGCTGCCTTTGCCTGGTGCTTGAGTCATTCAACAGGGAGACCTCCTAATGGGAGTCGTTCAGTCCTTGGTTCCCTTCCCTCAGCAGCAGCTAAGAACTTGAAGGGCTGGGTGCTTGAAGGGCAGGGTTTCCATGGATTTAATACAAATACGTTAGTTAATACAAACACGTCTAGTATAAGGGGCCACTTACTGTCACAGTAGTTTTAGAGAGATGTTTTTCTAGGGGGTAGGTAAAAATGAGCTAATTTGGAAATCATTAATGAGTGAAAGTAGTAGTAGTATCGCCATCGCCCCAATGTATTTTACGAAAGGGGATTATCTCAAGTGTCAACTTTATACTGAATAAGCCAGACTTGAAGGGCACAACCAGGAAACAGCTTTGTCCTTTCTAACTAGCCCCCTCAGACCAGCTCTGTGGGACTAATTTTTCCCATGAAATTAGATCTTTTTGGTTTTTATCAAATAACAAATTTGTCTAGCCAATTTCATTGTTCAGTCATTTCAGTAATTAATGTTCAGTCCTAGCTTCCGGTCAAAGGTGTTACTTTGGGAGATTAAAAGATCTTCCCTACTCTAGCCCAGGTCTATTTTGGTAGAAAGCTAGAAAACGAAATGGGGCATAGCTGAATTCTTCTCCTGTGTTCTCAGATTCTGACCTCCAGCCCTAGGGTCAAAGCGAGAAGGGGAGACAGGAGAGGTAGGGGTCTGTGGTGCTCCGATCCTGGTCTCTTCAAATCTAGGTATATGCCTACTGTGCATTCTCCCCCGCGGGGTTCTTGGAGCTCCACACAGTTCCTCCTTGCCTGCCTGATATTCCTTTCTCCTGATTTCCCTGATAGAGATGACAGGCTCTCCTGCTGGCACGCTTGGCTTCACCACTGGCTCTTGGTAGGTGGGCTCTCTTTGCAGGGTTCCATTGTTCCTCAAGGTGGCCCACATAGGCAGGTCCCTTTAAGACAGCTTTAGATGGGCATTCTCCTTCTTGCCAACCAGACTGGGAATACAGGAAACGCTTGTTCATTCTTTCTTCCCATAAACTCTGGGAACACAGGCTACTTGCCATGCAGCTACCTCTTCTTGATGACCCATCTGAGTAGCCAACTGACAAGAGCTCTTAGGCTCTGACGTTTCTAGGCATGGGCCCACTAGGACCCTCCATCTCTTGGGGACACAGATTGAGATCTCTAAGTGATTTTCATTAAACCTCTCTTGTTCATCTTGATGTGAAGGTTCTTCCTTCCCAAACACAGAGAAGATGGAATTCACGAAGACATCTTTCCTCTGATTTCTACCTCCCTTTGACCTATTCAACTTCTTTTATAGGCAGAAGATTGTTGCTAGTTAAGGTTCCCCAAACTACAATAGTTCAGCTATCCCCTTGACGATAATGCTTAGGGATCTTGCTTTGGAATATAGAAGAGTTGATGCTTATTGTCTTGGGATCTTAGCTAAAAGTGAACAGAATCTCATTTTTGACATATCTAGGAATATCCAAAGATATATTTGTGGGAAGAGGCTAAGGGGTAAAGAAAATTCTAGAATGTATTAAACTTTCAGATGATCTTTGAACAAAACCTGTAAACACTTAGACATTTGAGTTGCTCCATTTATTTTTATTCTCAACTCTCCCCCTATTCCTCTCTCTCTTAAAATATTGGAAGAATACCGAAAGGGGCTGTAACATTAGGTAAAAGCTTCAGTAGTCCTCACTGTTTCTTTCCCATTCCTCGTCCCCCACAGCAGAGACTGAAGGGCTGAAACCAAACAAGCTTTATGTATCTTTTGGGACTCAGAAGAGACATCCCTATGGTGTCTTTATCAGTACAATTATACAAACTATGGTGAATGCAAATTGTTTTAATGCATCTTCTGTGAAAGTGAATCTTTCAGAGAACTGACACTTTTAGTGACCAAAACACCAGAGAAGTATTTCAAAGGGATCTTTATAATACACACACCAAGCTTGCATAAACACTGAGAAATCCCTAACCAGCAATTCTTAGATGATTGTCAAGCTGCAAGGATTTCTGGCCCCAAATTATTTTAGGTTTAAGAGAGAGCAGGCAAATAATCTAACATTCACATTTTTCTCTTGACTACCTAAAGAAAGACTAATAAATAGTATAGATTGACAGTCGATTACTAACAAGAATATCCCCATTCTACTTTTAAAAACGGAGTTATAAAGACTACATATTTGTCTAGTGTCAAGAGTCCCAAGGGTTTCTTCAGCTTTGCCACTTGAATATAGATAGGGCAATAGAGGCAGAAGAACCATTCAAGCAGCATTGATCATTATCTTTGTTAGGGCAGCGGTTCTCAACCTTTCACAGGGGTCGCCTAAGACCATCGGAAAACACCTATTTTCCGATGGTCTTAGGAACCGAGACATGGCTCCTCTATCCGTCTCCAGGCCCACATGCAGATATGCCCACATACAAGTACCCGGCGACCCCTGTGAAAGGGTCGTTCGACCCCCAAAGGGGTCACCACCCACAGGTTGAGAACCGCTGGGTTAAGGAATGGCCATTAACCTAATAGAATTTCCAAGATGGGCACTATTTATTATTTAACGTGGACCTTCAGGTATGATTTCAATCTAAATGAAAAGTTGAATACCTACATGACTGAAAAACTTCAGTAGGATTATCCTGTTCTTTTAGGAATATGGCCTTATCTTTCTGTCCAGCTCTGTTTCTCCTGTAAGTAATTACCATTCTTTAATGTCTTATTAAGAAAACTGGTTATGTCCTTCTTTCTAGAGGTATGAAAATGTTAAAGAAACTCATGGTGTAGACTTATGGATTAATTACTTTTTGATGGCTGACATTTCAGCTTAACATTCATGGTTCACCTTCGTGATGTTTTTTTGCCTTAGGTGGGAGCCAATCAGAGGCTCAAGTCAGGCAGAAACAGCAACTGCAACTGATGCAATCTAAATACCAGCAAAAGGTCAGAATCTGTCTCTTGTAGTTTAATTTTGGCAAGGAATTTGAGCACCAGCACTTTCTAGTAACAAGGAAATAATATAGTAACTTAACCAAAAGCATAAAACTTGTAAACCAATTACAAAAGGAAACTCTCAAAATCAAAGAAATCCGGAAATGAGAGGTGAAGAGATAAATATCTAGAATTCTCATTCAAACCATCATTTAGTCAGCAGGACCCCTATTAAGGGTTTTTTTTTGTTTTTGTTTTTGTTTTCTAGTTTAACTGTACTATGTTTTGAATATTTTGGTTCCAACAACATGGATTTGTTTATACTGTAACAGTCGTGAAACTATTACCAAAAAAAAAAAAAGATTTAAGATGCTCAGTGAGTTTTTACAATGAACTTGATGAGGTTTATAATCAGAAAAAGTGACCTGCCCAGCTTTAATCCTTCCCATCCCAGAGGGTGAGAGGCAGGGGGAGAGACAGAGAGATAGAAACCAAGGAAGAAATACAAAAAGAAATTTCCCGGGCAGGAAAAGTAACCTGACCATTCTCTGTGATTTAAGTAGCTTGAAGTCCCAACATCTAATCATGGCGACACACAGCACAAACAATACTGTAATTTGTATCCCAGTTCAGACTGAAAAATAGTAACTGGTTTTTGTCCTCTGTAATCTTTATACAATTCAGCTAAAAAGGGAAGAAGCTATAAGAATCAAGAAGGCGGCCGAAGAAGCTGAAATCCAAAAAATGAAGGCAATTCAGAGAGAGAAGGTAAGATGGTGGAGAGGCGGACGTTTACTGAGGGCATCTTACCTGCCAGGTGTTCTTCTAAACACGGTCCCTAGACAAACTCATTTAATCCTCACAATAACCCTGCAAAGACTATGTTATTCTTATTACCCAAGTTCAAAAATGAGGACACTGACACAGAGGATACAGCACTTGCTCAAGGGCTCAGAGCCAGCAAAATAGAGTAGAATTCGAATCCAGGCTGACTGGCCTCAGAGCCAGAGCTCTTAGTTACCACACTGTCTTGCCTCCCAGGCGAGTGATCAAAGTATTGGGTCATCGGGAAAGTTATAACGTATTTTTCTATGTTTTTCAATGCAAAAATGCGTCATGACTTTCCTGACGACCCAATAGTTGCTGTATAATTGGCTACAAGGCAAAGCAGTTAGTAACCATGGCAATTAGTGTGCACCGCCATATTGATATCCAAATATTGACTTTTCTAGGGTGATGTGAATTAGAACCTACTCTCTTACTGAGGAAAGAGAAAGCATTTTCATATTAGTGATATGATCTAAGCCTCCAAGTGATGTTTTTAGTTTTGACAGTCATTCTGGGGGTGGGGGGGAATCTCTTAAAAATGCTCATCAGCTAGAGAAGAAGGAAGAACATAGCGTTACTCTCCCCCCACCCGCTCCGCCTACCACTGTTCCCCTCAAAGCCCTAAGCTGCAGTAGGTTTTAAGTGTTGTAGGTTAGGGTCAAGGGGTTGGTTGACTCATGACACTGATGACCGAGTATGACACGTGCTGCAGGTATAAGTCATGAAAACACAATCCTATTCCTGCTGTCTATCTGTCTGTCTCTGTCTCCCTCCTTCCTTCCTTTTTTCTTTTAAAGATTGAGTATTGGCCAAGATTTGAGCCTGGTTACCAAACAATAGTTAGAATTAATGGTTAGAATTCATTAATGAGTTAATGAAGCCAAAAGCTGATGGCTTATGGAATGCATGAACTCTATGGGTCTTTGCTTCCCCGGGGAGCTCTCTATCGGCTGGTGAGCAGACTAAGTCTTTCTTGGAAGGTGTCCTGTTGTGCTGTGTGACTTTGAGCAGGCCCCACTCCTCTCGGAACTACTCCTGTAAAATGAGCTGTAAGCCCCACATCCTCTTCTCCCAAGGCCCAGGACTAGCTGCAGTTCTGAGAGATGCCACCTCTGTGGAGACGTAGGCTCTGGGGAGGAGATAAGGCTGTCCATATACATGTGGAACTGTACTGAAATGCTGGGAGTACAAGAAAAAAAAGTAGGGGTTTGTTTATAAATTTTGAGTTAGCAGCCCATTTCCAATTGATCAGCTGTTACACCTTATTGAACACATTGTCATCACAATAACTTGTTTTTAAGCCTGTCTTTCTCATGCTACTTCTCTATTCCCCACTCTCTTTTCATCCAACTCCCCACCCCCCACCACCCCATTTCCTTCTTCAAAGGAATGGTCACACTTTGGTCTTGCGGTTGTGAAGTGTCCCGTTACATAGGACAGAGTTTATTCGCATTGCAGGTGGAACTAAGAAAATCATTAAATCATCACCAGGAACTGAATTAAGAGGCATGCAGATCTGAAGAAAGATTGTGTTGCAACCTCTAAAGCTAAAAGTCACTTATTTGTTGTCACTTAAGACCCATAATTGTCTGGCTTGTGGATCATTTATAGCTCATTTCTTCATGGATCAAATAACAACTCAGAAATGTTACTGGCTGAAACGGTTTCCTTTAACTGAGTAAAAGCAGCATTTTTCCCTTTCCGAGTTCTACCATATAACTCGAGCTGTATAGCAATCACTAACTATAGAAACTTTAATTGGGTTGGCTTTTCCAATATGATAGCTGTAAGGATTGTTGGTATATATTTGTCTGAAGGTGAGAGATGGGGAGGTAGCGTTGATGTGGCTGAACCAGCGACATTGGCATCACTTGTTATTATAGAAAAGCAGAACTTCGAGGCCCACCGCAGATTTTCTGAACCAGCATGTACATTTTAACAGGCACCCCTGGTGACTCTTGTGCGCGTAAACGTTTGGGGAGCGTTCATCTAAACGACCTTCCAAGAGAATGAACAGCCCAACCCCGCTCCTTCCACAGACCTGGCTTCTCTGGCTAATTGGCCTGAACTGCCCCATGACTAGCTCTTCCTGTCGTACATAAATCGGTGGCTTCTCATCCTAAATGCGAGTCTATTTAGGAGCTTGTGTCAGATAAAAGACAAATGGACATTAGCCATCGAGAAATGACATACTTCCCATTGCCACGGTGAGAGTGGCCAGGAGAAGCAGTAATGGCTGTGCTTAAGGAGCATTCAGTCTTTAAAATGCACAGCAAGCACACACATGGACAATAGCCTGCAAAGCACCGCCCTCCTCCACGGGCAAATGGCTGCTGTCCAGGATTGTTACATTTTGACAAGTTTTTTAACTGGTTGACTTCATGGCGGTAGGTTGGAACTGACCATATGGGAATATTTTCTCCACGGAAATCAGTAAATGCTACCAGTCAACCTCCCCTCCTCCCTGCGAGAGCCGGTTGTTACGTTTGTCAGCACACCACTGCTTAGCCCTAAACAAAGAGGTCCTTCTCCCTCACCCTCCCGTACCACCTACATGTATTCCAAGAGTCAGAGGGCTGAGGAGGGCAAAGATTTGGTGAAGTAGCTGCCATTCGCATGTCTGTCTGATCCTTATTGATTTAAAAATAGATTTAACCCATGTGGTAGGCAGAATAACGCCGCACCCCACCCCTCCACATTCCAGTACGTGGAACCTAGGAATATATTATGTTCCATGGCAAGCGGATGGGGGGCGGGGGGGTGTTGAGTTTGCAGGTGGAATTAAGATTGCTAATTGACTTACCTTCAGATAGGGAGCATGCCCAGCTTTATCCAGGCGGGTCCCACATAATCACAGTGGTCCTTATGATTATGGAGGAAGGTGGAGAGCATGAAAAGATGATAGCAGGAGGAAGGTTCAGCCTGTCATTGCTGGCTTTGAGAAGGAAGAAAGGAGCTACAGCTAAAGAATGTGGGCGGGTCTCCAGGAGGTAGAAAAGGCAAGGAAACAGAGTCCCCGCTGGAGCCCCCAGAAGGAACCAGCCCTGCCGACAACTTGATTTCAGCCCAGGCAGATGCATTTGGGACTTCTGGCCTCCAGAACTGCACAATTATTAATACGTTTGTGTTTCAAGCCACAAAAGAGTTTGTGGTAATTTGTTACAGCAGCAGTAGGAAGCTTATACAACTCGCGTGGTTTTAGAATGTATTAATGTCTCTTCCTGGAAATCTATAAAGCAGAGAAAATATCTCTATAATATTTAGAGCATCAGAGTGAAATAAAGTTGTTAAAAAAGAAAAAAACGGCAGCATACCAGATGCAAGTACTTTCTTTGCCGCTGGATTTTACAGCACGAGTAGACACGTCTTCATAAATCCTCACAGCAAACCTTTCACCGGAATTTAGTGCTAGGGGAGTGAACCGCCACTGTGCTGTCCCCTTATAATCACATCGATGAATTACACAATAATTTGATTTTTTTCAAACATTCAGAATGCCCACAAACTTACAAAACGAAAATCTTCCAATTCTGTGTCAAAGGCCTTACTCACCTCCTGGAGTCATCTTATTCTGCCTTTGATCTAATTGTGCTTGAAATAATATTATACAGTGCATATAGTTCACAAATACTTTCATTTAATACTCTCAGCCTCTTGGGGTATCATAAACTCAGATAGGGCAGGGAACCAGCTGGAGATCTGAGTGGCATCCAAAGCCTTTCCTTGCTCTTTTCAATAAACCATAAAGTCGTAAAGCTGATAAAGTTATTTGGAGCACTGGCGGTCACGGTGTTTTATGCGGACACTGAGAAGCATTGTTAGTTATTTTTAATGCTGTAAAGTGAAGTGGGAACTCACCAGTAGGAAATCAGGTATGCATATTAGATACAGAGATGCACACACATACATATTTTTAAGGAATCACACTTGTTACTTATTTCTAATAGCAAGGGCTAGAGGTTTAAGAATAACTTTAGTGATAAAACTTGACACTGAGGAAATTATTTCAATATTGTTTTTATACACTAGGAAAACGTCCCTTCCTGAAAACTTTCAAGGAACACCAGCATTTCCCAGAAATGTGGTTTCTACATCATGCCTTTCTTTGTGGATGCATCTGTGTGGGCATTAAGCCTCTGGTGTTTGAAATGCAGTAGGATCCCATTAACTAATTCCATAGTGATGGGAAGTTAATATCTCTGCAATGCAAGTGTGGTACTAAAAGGGTAAGCTGTTAGATGCTCTGTGCTTCACTTTCCTTATCTGTGAAATGGGTATAATAATAATAATAATGGAACTGGTAGGCTTAAAGGATGTGATATGTGCAAAGCCCTCAGTACAATGCCTAGCTAGCACTTAGTAAGCACGCAATAGGTATCCTGACCTAATGAATTATGCACATAAAGAAGTGCCTTAACCCTGTCTCATTTGACTCTATTATATATAATAATCAACCTCTGGTGTGGAAGGCAGAGAGTGGGGATTATTCTTATATTACACGTGGATGAATTGGTTTACTTTTTTCATTTCCACCAAACCCATGTGAATAAGGTTGCTGGAGAAAAAAAAAACACGCTCAGCTTTTTTTTTTTTTTTTTGCCACACCGCCTGTCCAGGCTTCCGTCTCACCTGGGTCTTTAACAGTGCCTAATGCCTGGCATTTTTCCTTTGCAGTCTAGGCCCATCTAAGGTCTTCCTCCTCTTCTTTCATTTTCATCATTCTCATCTCTCACCTTCTAGGAAGCAAAGGTCCTCAGGCCATAAGTACCTTTATTTTTATGTTTCCTTACTCTTCCTTTGCTGTTTCTATCCCCGTCTCACTCAGGAGGGATAAGAAAATGCTTTTCCTTGTTGCTATAATGAATTCTGCCACCTGTGCTTACTATCTCATCTGCCCTTGCATCTTAGCAACCTTGCTGTTCCATCAGTTAAGCCCCCTT